ACTTCACATCATATGCAGCTGAAATGAAATACCTGAAAAGAATAGGAGGGAGCCTACATAATCTTAAAACTGGTTTGCTTCCCAGCTGGTATATTTACTATAAGTTTAGTAAATGATTACTAATAGCTAAGTTTAGTAAATGCTTACTAATTGCCAGGCACTGGGTTAGACACTTTTTATGTAGTAAAAACCACAGTTGGAAACTACTGCATCCTTAAAAGAATATGCTCTCTTTGACTATGATTTATGAGGATACGATTCTCCCACTGGGCATCTGCAAGAAAAGCTGGTCAAGCAGGCAATCAATTAGAAAGAGTGCTTCCTGCTAAAGTGTATTTATGTTTTATTAACCACCTTTTTTGATTGATTGGCTTTCGTTTTATTGGGTTTTTTCAGCGACCCAGTGTAAATTGACTACGGAATCATTCACACTTGAAACCATTTGTCCAGATCAGCGGTTCTCAACCTTCTTAATGCCACGACCCTTTAACACAATTCCTCATGTTGTGGTGACCCCCAACCATAACATTATTTTCGTTGCTACTTCATAACTGTCATTTTGCGACTGTTATGAATCGTCATGTAAATATCTGATATGCAGGATGTATTTTCATTGTTACAAATTGAACATAATTAAAGCATAGTGATGAATCACAAAAACAATATGTAATTACATATGTGTTTTCGGATGGTCTTAGGCGACCCCTGTGAAAGGGTCATTCGACCCCCAAAGGGGTCGCGACCCACAGGTTGAGAACCGCTGGTCCAGATAGTCAGTGCAAACCGCCTGGAAGCCCTCTGGGCAGCGCCTGCTGGGAAACTCTCACTTCTCCACGCCCTCCCCTTGCTCGTGGTCACTGCACTCACTTGTCCTCCACTCCTCCACCCTTTAACTCCCTTGAGTCATGATACAGCCCTCCCAGGACTGGCCTTGGCCTCCTTCTCAGCCGTAAGTCACCTTCACTCCTTGAATTGTATCTGCTTCTGCCCTCTTCCTGCCCCAGGTTTCTGCCCAGCACAGGCTCTGCCCCCGTTTGCCCTGAGGTCCATGCATTTATTCGTCAGATGCTCAGAACAGAGTATTCAAATGTTACTCCTTCTTTAAGACCATGTTAGCATGGTGCTAGCAGCTAGTAGCTGCTGATCTTTTTGGTTCTGGCCTTTCTAGGCAGGGATGCCCAGTCTCTCTGTTTGTTTGTTTGTTTGTTTGTTTTTAAATATATTTTATTGATTTTTTACAGAGAGGAAGGGAGAGGGATAGAGAGTTAGAAACATCGATGAGAGAGAAACATCGATCAGCTGCCTCCTGCACATCGGGGATGTGCCCGCAACCCAGGTACATGCCCTTGACCGGAATCGAACCTGGGACCTTTCAGTCCGCAGGCCGACGCTCTATCCACCGAGCCAAACCGGTTTCGGCTGTTTTTTAGTCCAATATTGAAGGCACATTGGCGCGCCTATCATCTGTGAGGTGCGTTCCTGCCCCAGACTATCAGATGTGCGAGAGCAACACATCTCAGCAATCTGTCCCTGAAATAACCTCCTCAAAACTCAGTTCAAATAGCACCTGCTGAGGCTTCACAACATCCAAAATCTATATCGTAAGGCAGGGGTGGGCAAACTTTTTGACTCGAGGGCCACAATGGGTTCTTAAACTGGACCAGAGGGCTGGAACAAAAGCATGGAGGGAGTGTTTGTGTGAACTAATATAAATGCAAAGTAAACATCATTACATAAAAGGGTACGGTCTTTTTTTTTTAAGTTTTATTCATTTCAAACGGTCCGGATCCGGCCCGCAGACTGTAGTTTGCCCACGGCTGTCTTAAGGGATGTGACCCTGTTCCCGACCAAGAAAAGCCAGAGCCTGGAAACCTGTATTAGCAGCACACTCACATCGAAAGTTTTACCAAACAATATTTATCTTTGTATGAGGTGTGCTTTGATATGATCTGTTCTATTTCACTTGTAAAAACTGGTTGCCCCCATTAAATTGATTTCACTACTGGGTTGCATCCCATAAATTTTTAAAATACTGCTTCCATCTGTCCTGGCTGAGGAATTAAACTAGATAATACCCCCATTTGACAGGTGGGAAATTGGGTGGGAAAACACTGAAGACCTGGGCTGAGTCCCTGCTCTTTGGCCGCCCTGCTGACCAGTACAGGAGAAATCACTTAGCCTCGCTGGCCCTCTCTTTGCATCTTATATCGAGGTGCTGTCTGCTCTATCCTACACACGGGTCTCTTAGAGGGATCTAATGAAATGAACACTGTAAGAGCACTTTAAAAATATTCAAGTACCGTTCAACTGTAAGAAGGTAGGGTGTCAGTCATTGAGAAGAAGTGAGAGAATAATCTGCTAGTTTCCACATGCTGTTTCCCTACTACTCAGCTGAGCTGCTTGTGGAAGGCTGCCAGGACCCATCGTCTGAAACCAAGAAGAGGAAGGAAATGAGGAAGACTGATAAAGAGATGGGATAGAGCACATCCTGAGATAAGCATCGTTTTATTGGCCAGCAATTTACAACCAGGGCCAGCAACCTGGAACCAGTGGCTCAGTGTTTTACATTCCAAGAGGCATCAAAAAATTCATACAATACTATATATATATATATGTATATATATATATATATATACATATATATATATATAGTATATATGTGTGTGTGTGTGTGTGTATATATACTGTATACATTCATATAATACTTTATATATACATACGTACATACAGACTATATATATGCCGACACACATATATAGTATTATATGCAATACATAACATACATATACTAGTAGCTCATATGCTAGAATATACTATATAATATATAGTATATGGTTTAATATTATATATATGCTAGTATATAGCGTATGCTAGTATATACTACTCATATATAGTATATAGTATATTATATATGCTAGTATATAATGTATGCTAGATAGTCTATTAATATGTACTGTATAGCATATTATATATATATATGCTAGTATATATATATTACAAACACTGTATATGCTAATATGTAGTATATAGTATAATATTAAATATATGCTAGTATGCATTACAAACACCATATATGTAATATACATTCTAATCCTCAGAGGCTTTGGTGCCAAGTTTCCTCACGGTGCTACTGATGCTAAGCTGATAGGGCCCCCTCCCTCACGATTCCGGAGCTCTCAAGAGGCTGTCACTTTGTCAGGGTGAGTGTGCCACCACACACAGGAGGGGACTTGGCACATGCTCCATAATATGTGATCTGACTCCTGCCATCAATCAAAGAACACTTCGAACTGGGCCAGATGATTCAGGATCTATAAGCCATTAGCCACCATTGACAAGCCTCTGAGAAGCGATTCCTATCCCAACAAGACTTCTAGCTGAATTTCCCTTTACGCTGGAGATTTCACTCAAAAGCCTGCCAGGAGCCAGGCATATTCCATAAATGAGGGGAGAGGGGCACGCTCCTCACTGTGCACGCCGCCCCATCTAAAAGGGCCAGATCCTCTACTGTTCCTAAAGGAGTGAAAAATCTGGATTTTTACGTGAAATTGCCTGAGTCCTCAATGGTTTCTCTATTTAAAAGAAAAAGACAAATAGATCTAAGAAAACTGCAAATTCTACCTGCAACCATCCCATTAATGGCCTCTACTTTTTTTCAAAAAGCATAATTAGCCCTAGCTGGTTTGGCTCAGTGGATAGAGCATCAGCCTATGGACTGAAGGGTCCCAAGTTTGATTCCAGTCAAGGGCACATGTCTGATTTGTGAGCTGGATCCCCAGTGTGGGATGTGCAGGAGGCAGCCGGTCAATGATTCTCTCTCATCATTGATGATTCTATCCCTCTCTCCCTCTCCCTTCCTCTCTGAAATCAATAAAATATATTTTTAAAGCATAATTAATATTTTTCTATTACAATATCTCATTAAAAGGTAAAAATGCAAATGAAAAGTCAAATTCATCTGGTGTTCTGCTCTAGACTTCCATGCTGTCTTTGCCCAGGTTCTCTGAAGAACAGAGCCTGAGGCAAGGATTAAGGGTTTGCACTGTATTTGGGGGACAGGGTCCCTGGGTGAGGAAAGAGAAAGGACTGGAGAAAGGAAGGAAGCAGTACGGAGTTCACAACAAGCCACGAAGAGACACACAGGTCAACAGCCAGGTGGATTCGCTCCACACGGTGGGACAAATGGCTGCGAGGAGAAACGGGCCCTCCCTCACCTCACGCTAGTCCCAGCCCTGGTCAGCTCACCCCTCCTCCTGTTTCCCATTAGTCAGTGCTCGCCCCACAGCGTGAACCTCACCTGAACGTGCAGTTGCCAGATCCCATAACCACAGAGGTGCTTCTGTGTGTTCAGGAAGAACCAGAAGCTCCAGGCATGTGGCCGGGCTGCGTGCCAGGGGGGAAGGAGGGCACCGCACTCTCTGAGCGGCGACTGGTTGGCCCAGTGGTGTCTGCAATATGGTCCCGGATGTGGTTGGTGCCTTAAAAAAAAAAAAAAAAAAAAGAGGCCATTGAGGAATCTAGGCTGGTACAGTCTGTGTGGCTGCAGGGACATGTCCAAAGAACAGCTATATTAAGAACTAGTTAGATGAAACATTACAAAAGAAAGGAGGCACACATTCCGGTTATCAAAAATGAGGGAGTGACACGACTACAGAGCCTGCAGACAGTGAAAGATATTTTGTGGAGCAATTCTTTGCCAACAAATACAACTTAGATGAAACAGGCAGATTCCTTGAAAACACTACTGTCACAACAATCCCTCTGTAAGGTATAAATGTCTAATCACTATGCTGTACACCTGAAACTAACATAATATTGTGTCAACTTCAGTTAAAATATAAATTTTTTAAATATTACTAAGCTGACAAAGGCCCAAGGCTATAGTACAAATCTGAAACTTCCATTACGAACTGAGGGAAAAGGCCATAGTTTACACATCTATACACTTTCTCAATACCATTCAAGTCAGAACATTCATAAATTTACAAAGCCTCATAATTTAAAGTCAAATAGCAGAGTTCTTTAAGCCAGGGTCTTGGCAGAGAGACTCAAATGGAAGCTTACCCTCCAGGCTTAATATGAATACAGAAAGAGGGTTATAAAACCAGTCAGAGGAGTTGGGAGGGAGGCAAATCCGGAGAAGAATCTAAGAATAGTAGCACCATACCCCACTGCTCCAGAAAGCTTAATCCAGAAAAACACTGCAAGGACAGATGGTTGCCAGCTATTTCACATCGGATGGCAGACCCAGGCGCCTCCGGGGGTCAGAGACCCACTAAGACAACAGGCAGTGAGATGCTAAGGGCTGTCGAGCCCCTTGCAACTCCGTGGCTCCATCTGGTTCTGCAACAGCGTATGTGCTCAGCATCTCCAGATTTTCTGGATTACTCTTTGAAATCTCCCATTGTTTAACTGTTGGCACAAGTTTAAGGGGGAAAAAATACTGTGTGAGCCAAACGAAACACAAGAGCAAGCCAGATACACCCTGCAATCTACCAATTTGTGGCCTTGACTTTTGAGTTTTGGTCTTAGGAGGTGGGGTGCAAAGAGAGGAGGCTGTGAGGTGTGTGTGTGTTTTGTTTTTATGTTTGGTTGGTTGGGTTTTTGTTGTTGTTCTTTTTTGGCTTTTTCCTATTTTTGAAAGTTCAAGCTCTGGTTTCTTTTTCATGACCTCTGAGGTATGGGGACTTCAAAACAAAGAGAAACAGTCACCGTCGGACATTCCGGCTCTTTCTCCATCCTGCCCCCAGGATCCAGCAGATAAGAAGCTAAATCCTAAGATCTGAAGAGGTTGGGTTTCTTCTCTCCCCTTCAGGCTGCTGCCAACTCGCTGTCCTGCCTTCGGTTTTGAGACACACTGGTGATTTTGTTTACTGCTGTTTCCATATGGCTGAGCTGCATGGGGTGCGGGGAGCGGGAGGGAACACTGAGGTTTCATTTCACTGTGAGAAGATGTTATTCTGTGTCAGGAAACAAGATGAAAAGCAAACATGCCTCGAGATTCCTGGAAAGAAAGCAGATTCATTGCAGCCTCTGAGCCCAGGCAGCGGTGTGCGGAGCTCCTGAGCTTGTCTGCCATGGCCACCTGGTCAGGGCCAGTGAGCCAACCCAAGGCAGCTGCACCTTCTCAAGGACACACTTCAAAGGCGCACAGCACGCTGCGGAGGGTGCTTGGCACTAATGAGCCAGCACCCAGGCTCCCAGCGGCAGGAGAACTTCCCAGCATCACCCTGAAGCATGGCGACTGCAATGCGATCCTGGAGATGGAAGCACTCAGGGGGGCGGGGCAGCAGGCAGTGGCTGCATCCCCAGACCTGCAGAGAGGGGCGAGCACTCAGACACTCAAGGGGCTGCGAACACTGACAGAATGCAGAAGGATGCTGACCAATGTCCTCACAGCCTCTCTCTAGTGCACTCTGATCAGCTCAGCCAAGGTCCCCGTGGACCCAGCCCCACTCCCTAAGGAGCTGTGTGGAGCACGTCAGGCCCCAGTTGTCTATCTCCCTTGTGGGTCCCCATCAAGGCCACTCAAGCCACAATTTCCAGGAAGCTTGCAGCAAGTGTCTCTTCACAGCGGCTCACACAGAAAGCAGAGGGTTTCTAAGACGTCCTGCTGCACTCTGGGACTCCCGGGCCGGCTTCCCCTCCCCCAGGTCCACGGAGGGAGAGGCTGAATAGGCTCTAGGGCAGTGATGGCGAACCTATGACACGCATGTCAGAGGTGACACGCGAACTCATTGTTTTGGTTGATTTTTCTTTGTTAAATGGCATTTAAATATATAAAGTAAATATCAAAAATATAAGTCTTTGTTTTACTATGGTTGCAAATATCAAAAAATTTCTATATGTGACACGGCACCAGAGTTAAGTTAGGGTTTTTCAAAATGCTGACACGCCGAGCTCAAAAGGTTCGCCATCACTGCTCTAGGGCTTTAACACACCCCAACCACGCTGTACCTTGGGAGAAAGGAGAAGGGCATGGCTTCCCAGGAAAGGCCAGCAGGGAGCTGAGGGATTTCTTTCAGGGACTTGGGGACGTGGAGAAAGGAAAGAAAAAAAGATCCCCGTCTACAACGCCTGCCCAATCACCTGGGAGCCAACTGTCCTCAAAATTAGGAAGCCTTTATTCTTGAGATGATGTTCTCTAGAAAAATAAGACAGACTCTTCAGAGCCACCTTAATGCTCCAGGAAATGAAGAATTCAAAGAGCAAACAAGCAAAGACGTATTCCTACTCTTCTAAAGGTCTTCCCAAATTCTGAAAGAAGTTCTGCCAGAGATTAGTGTTTATAATGGGAAAAGTATCAAAGTCATGGCAAGTGCCCATACCTCCCATTTACAGTGTCTGGTGAGGTTCTAAGATGCCTGCGCTCTTGGTATCCCTGCAGCAATCCTATGCGGTAGGTACTTTCACAGCTCCCAATTTGCTAATGAGGAAACTTGAGCACAGAGAGGTTGAGTGACTTGCCCACAGTCACACAGCTAATAAGTGGCAGAGCTGAGATTTGAACCTAGACCATCCAAGCCCATATGCACCGCTGCCTCTTGCAATTTGATGCTATAAGTAATAATAAGAGACACAAAGAACATGTTCTAATTAACAAAGTATTTTCAATTTTTTATTTATTCCAAAAATATTTTTGTTTAGCACTCACCAAACGCAGGTCCCAGAGGTAGAGTGCTGAGCAAGTGACACCCAGGACCTGACCTCACAGTTCTCTTCTCCAGCAGCAGACAGACCAAGTCAATGCTCCTAAAACTAAATGGTTAAGGGCAGTGGTTAAGTGCCACAAACAAATAAACACAGGGGTCATCACTCTCTGAAATAAATATTCTTTTCCTCCTTTTACAAATAAGGAAACTTAGATTTCAGAGTGAAATGCAATATGGCAAAAAGAACCCACTGAATTCCTAATTGTATTTAGTTTTGAGCAGCTACTCAATGTAGCCGTATCATTTGACATTCAAAAGCTACTAAAGGGTATCTGGAAAAAGCCTCCTTTACCCCCTCAACCCCAGCCTCCCAGCTCCCCTCTCCGAGGCAACCGATGTTGAGTCTCCTATTGTCTGGGTCTCCTGCAGGAGACACTCCTAAGTCACCCAATACACACACACTGTCTTTCTCTACACAAGTTACAGCACAATGAACACATTGTCTGCTCCTTGGGTTTTTGTCTCTAACAAATCAATACACACTGAGCTTCCTCATTTTCTCAAGGCCGCATGGCATCTCATGGCACGGACGTATAATTCTAACTCCTGCTTTAGCCAGTCTCCTACTGATGGTCACTTAGGCTAGTTCCAAACTAGCACAGTGATGCAGGGACCTGCTAAATGGACAAGCCATTTTCCACACATGTATGTCTGCGGGATAACCTCCTAGAAGTGGGATTACTGGGTACACAGCCTTGCGTATTTGGAATTTTGATAGATAATAACCGTGTTGTCCACCATTGGGATGTCCCCAGTTTGCACTCACCCAGCAGTGGGTGGGCATGCCTGTTTGACCAAACCCCAAACACAGTGAAAACACTTGGAGAATCAAAGGACCCGGTGGCCCCCTCCAACCCTCATCCATTGTGGGCCAACTGCAGGCCTCTCAACCTGTGAGCCCCATGGACCTCATGGGAAAACTGGGCTTAGTAGTGCTCCCCCACATGTGTTCCCGAAGCATCAGGCCCACAGCCCTTTGGGGTCGAGGTGGGAGGTACTGGAGCTCCCCAGGAGAGCAGCTCACAAGAGATGTCCCCCAGGCCAACACCACCTGCACAGAGCCAGGGGTTGCTGGAGGCAAAGCCCAACAGTAGTTAACATATAAATGCGAGAGGTCAGTCAGAAGGCTGATGGACTTTGGTATTCAGCAAGAGCTGATAATCAGCATCGTATTACCTGCTGCTGGCAAAATGGTTGAAGGCAATCCCCTAACCTGATAATCCTTTTATTGTTTTCCAAACCTTACCATTGAAATGACTGTTTGCTTTGCTCAAGGGCAAATGTGTATTCTAGTAAATAAAAAGCTGTGGGTCCAGAGATTCGGGGAGCCATTCCACTAGAGAAAGGCCTCCGCCTGGTTTCCCCAATGCCTTCCA